AGAGATTGTGGAGTGTAGAGGATGTGGAGTGTAGAGATTGTGGAGTGTTGAGTGTAGAGATTGTGGAGTGTAGAGATTTGGAGTGTAGATATATGTGGAGTGTAGAGATTTGTGTAGTGTAGAGATTGTGGAGTGTAGAGTATGTGGAGTGTAGAGATTGTGGAGTGTAGAGATTGTGGAGTGTAGAGATTGTGGAGTGTAGAGTTTGTTGAGTGTAGAGTGGAGTGTGGAATATGTGGGGTATAGAGATAGTGGAGTGTACATGATGCGGAGTGTAGAGGGTTTGGAGTGTAGAGATTGTGCAGTGTAGAGGATGTTGAGTGTAGATGATGTGGAGTGTAGAGATTGTGGAGTATGTGGAGTATAGAGATTGTGGAGTGTAGAGATTGTGGAATGTAGAGTATGTGGAGTGTAGAGATTGTGGAGTGTAGAGGTTGTGGAGTGTAGAGGATTTGCAGTGTAGAGGATGTGGAGTGTAGAGATTGTGGAGTGTAGAGTTTGGAGTGTAGAGGAAGTGAAGTGTAGAGATTTTTTTGGTGTAGAGATTGTGGAGTGTAGAGATTGTGGAGTGTAGAGATTGTGGAGTGTAGAGATTGTGGAGTGTAGAGTATGTGGAGTGTAGAGATTGTGGAGTGTAGAGATTGTGGAGTGTAGAGATTGTGGAGTGTAGAGTATGTGGAGTGTAGAGTATGTGGAGTAAAGAGGATGTGGAGTGTAGAGATTGTGGAGTGTAGAGATTGTGGAGTGTAGAGATTGTGGAGTGTAGAGATTGTGGAGTGTAGAGATTGTGGAGTGTAGAGATTGTGGAGTGTAGAGTATGTGGAGTGTAGAGATTGTGGAGTGTAGAGATTGTGGAGTGTAGAGGATATGGAGTGTAGAGAATGTGGAGTGTAGAGATTGTGGAGTGTAGAGATTGTGGAGTGTAGAGTATGTGGATTGCACAGATTGTGAAGTGTACAGATTGTGGAGTGTAGAGTATGTGGAGTGTAGAGATTGTGTAGTGTAGAGTTTGGAGTGTAGAGGATATGGAGTGTAGAGAATGTGGAGTTTAGAGATTGTGGAGTGTAGAGATTGTGAAGTGTAGATTATGTGGAGTATAGAGATTGTGGAGTGTACAGGCTGTGGAGTGTAGAGTATGTGGAGTGTAGAGTATGTGGAGTGTAGAGATCGTGGAGTGTAGAGGATATGGAGTGTAGAGAATGTGGAGTGTAGAGATTGTGGAGTGTAGAGATTGTGGAGTGTAGAGATTGTGGAGTGTAGAGATTGTGGAGTGTAGAGGATGTTGAGTGTAGAGGATGTGGAGTGTAGAGATTGTGGAGTGTAGAGATCATGGAGTGTAAAGTATGTGGAGTGTAGAGATTGTGCAGTGTAGAGATTGTGGAGTGTAGAGTATGTGGAGTGTAGAGATTGTGGAGTGTGGAGTATGTGGAGTGTAGAGATTGTTGAGTGTAGAGATGTAGATTGTGGAGTGTAGAGATTTGGAGTAGAGGAGAGTACGTGGAGTGTAGAGTATGTGGGGTGTAGAGTATGTGGAGTGTAGAGATTGTGTAGTGTAGAGTTTGGAGTGTAGAGGATATGGAGTGTAGAGAATGTGGAGTTTAGAGATTGTGGAGTGTAGAGATTGTGAAGTGTGGAGTGTAGAGATTGTGGAGTGTACATGATGTGGAGTGTAGAGGATGTGGAGTGTAGAGGATATGGAATGTAGAGGATGTGGAGTGTAGAGGATGTGGATTGTAGAGATTGTGCAGTGTAGAGATTGTGGAGTGTAGAGATTGTGGAGTGTAGAGATTGTGGGGTGTAGAGATTGTGGAGTGTAGAATATGTGGAGTGTAGAGTATGTGGAGTGTAGAGATTGTGGAGTGTAGAGTATGTGGAGTGTAGAGGATGTTGAGTGTAGAGATTGTGGAGTGTAAAGATTGTGGAGTGTAGAGAATGTGGAGTGTAGAGATTGTAGAGTGTAGAGATTGTGGAGTGTAGAGTATGTGGAGTGTAGGGTATGTGGAGTGTAGAGGTTGTAGAGTGTAGAGATTGTGGAGTGTAGAGTGTGGAGTGTAGAGGATGTTGAGTGTAGAGATTGTGGAGTGTAGGGTATGTGGAGTTTAGAGTATGTGGATTGTAGAGATCGTGGAGTGTAGAGGATATGGAGTGTAGAGAATGTGGAGTGTAGAGAATGTGGAGTGTAGAGATTGTGGAGTGTAGAGATTGTGGAGTGTAGAGTATGTGGAGTGTAGAGATTGTGGAGTGTAGAGATTGTGGAGTGTAGAGATTGTGGAGTGTAGAGTATGTGGAGTGTAGAGATTGTGGAGTGTAGAGATTGTGGAGTGTAGAGTATGTGGAGTGTAGAGATTGTGCAGTGTAGAGATTGTGGAGTGTAGAGTTTGGATTGTAGAGGATGTGGAGTATTGAGAGTTTGGATTGTAGAGGAAGTGGAGTGTTGAGATTGTGGAGTGTAGAGAGAGTTTGAGATTGTAGAGTGTAGAGATTGTGGAGTGTAAAGATTGTAGAGTGTAGAGTATGTGGAGTGTAGAGATTGTAAAGTGTAGAGATTGTGGAGTGTAGAGTATGTGGATTGTAGAGTATGTGGAGTGTAAAGATTGTGGAGTGTGGAGTATGTGGAGTATAGAGATTGTGGAGTGTAGAGATTGTGGAGTGTAGAGTATGTGGAGTGTAGAGATTGTGGAGTGTAGAGTATGTGGAGTGTAGAGATTTTGGATTGTAGAGGATGTTGAGTGTAGAGGATGTGGAGTGTAGAGATTGTGGAGTGTAGAGATTGTGGAGTGTAGAGTATGTGGAGTGTAGAGATTGTGCAGTGTAGAGATTGTGGAGTGTAGAGATTGTGGATTGTAGAGTATGTGGAGTGTAAAGAGTGTGGAGTATGTGGAGTATAGAGATTGTGGAGTGTAGAGTTTGTGGAGTGTAGAATATGTGGAGTGTAGAGATTGTGCAGTGTAGAGGATGTTGAGTGTAGAGTATGTGGAGTGTAGAGATTGTGGAGTGTAGAGATTGTGGAGTGTAGAGATTGTGGAGTGTAGAGTATGTGGAGTGTAGAGTATGTGGAGTGTAGAGTATATGGAGTGTTGAGATTGTGGAGTGTAGAGGATGTAGAGTGTAGAGATTGTGGAGTGTAGAGATTGTGGAGTGTAGAGATTGTGGAGTGTAGAGTATGTGGAGTGTAGAGTATGTGGAGTGTAGAGATTGTGGAGTGTAGAGGATGTGGAGTGTAGAGGATGTGGATTGTACAGATTGTGGAGTGTACAGATTGTGGAGTATGTGGAGTGTAGAGGATGTGGAGTGTAGAGATTGTGCAGTGTAGAGATTGTGCAGTGTAGAAATTGTGGAGTGTAGAGATTGTGGGGTGTAGAGATTGTGGAGTGTAGAATATGTGGAGTGTAGAGTATGTGGAGTGTAGAGATTGTGGAGTGTAGAGATTGTGGAGTGTAGAGATTGTGGAGTGTAGAGGATGTGGAGTGTAGAGTATTGTGGAGTGTAGAGATATGTGGAGTGTGTAGAGATTGTGGAGTGTAGATATTGTGGAGTGTAGAGTTTGTGGTGGTGATGTTGAGTGTAGAGGATGTGGAGTGTAGAGATTGTGGAGTGTAGAGATCATGGAGTGTAGAGTATGTGGAGTGTAGAGATTGTGCAGTGTAGAGATTGTGGAGTGTAGAGTTTGGAGTGTAGAGGATGTGGAGTATTGAGATTGTAGAGTGTAGAGATTGTGGAGTGTAGAGATTGTGGAGTGTAGAGTATGTGGAGTGTAGAGTATGTGGAGTGTAGAGTATTTGGAGTGTAGAGATTGTGGAATGCAGAGTATGTGGAGTGTAGAGTATGTGGAGTGTTGAGATTGTGGAGTGTAGAGATTGTGGAGTGTAGGAGTGTAGAGTATGTGGAGTGTAGAGATTGTGGAGTGTAGAGATTGTGGAGTGTAGAGGATGTGGAGTGTAGAGATTGTGGAGTGTAGAGTATGTGGAGTGTAGAGTATGTGGAGTGTAGAGATTGTGGAGTGTAGAGTTTGGAGTGGTGAGGATGTGGAGTGTAGAGATTGTGGAGTGTAGAGATTGTGGAGTGTAGAGGATGTTGAGTGTAGAGGATGTGGAGTGTAGAGATTGTGGAGTGTAGAGATCATGGAGTGTAGAGTATTTGGAGTGTAGAGGATGTGGAGTGTAGAGATTGTGGAGTGTAGAGGATGTGGAGTGTAGAGTATGTGGAGTGTAGAGATTGTGGAGTGTAGAGATTGTGGAGTGTAGAGATTGTGGAGTGTAGAGTATGTGGAGTGTAGAGTATGTGGAGTGTAGAGTATGTGGAGTGTAGAGATTGTGGAGTGTAGAGTATGTGGAGTGTAGAGATTATGAAGTGTAGAGTTTGGAGTGTAGAGGATGTTGAGTGTAGAGATTGTGGAGTGTAGAGTATGTGGAGTGTAGAGTATGTGGAGTGTAGAGTTTGGAGTGGTGAGGATGTGGAGTGTAGAGATTGTGGAGTGTAGAGGATGTGGAGTGTAGAGGATGTGGAGTGTAGAGATTGTGGAGTGTAGAGATTGTGAAGTGTAGAGTTTGGAGTGTGGAGGATGTGGAGTGTACAGATTTTGGAGTGTAGAGTATGTGGAGTGTAGAGTATGTGGAGTGTAGAGATTGTAGAGTGTAGAGATTGTAGAGTGTAGTGTATGTGGAGTGTAGAGGATATGGAGTGTAGAGAATGTGGAGTGTAGAGATTGTGGAGTGTAGAGTATGTGGAGTGTATAGATTTTGGAGTGTAGAGGATGTGGAGTGTAGAGGATGTGGAGTGTAGAGATTCTGGAGTGTAGAGATTGTGGAGTGTAGAGATTGTGGAGTGTAGAGATTGTGGAGTGTAGAGTATGTGGAGTGTAGAGGATGTGGAGTGTAGAGATTGTGGAGTGTATAGTATGTGGAGTGTAGAGATTGTGGAGTGTAGAATAGTTTTCTTCCTTTTTATTATTTGATATCCTTATAGACGTACCCTGATTCGTGGTTCTGTTTCTCCATCAGGAATTCTTCTTTGTGGGAGAGTATGTGACGTGTATTCGAACTATGTATGAGATGGAACAGTCCGGGATCGCTGGCATGAAATATGACGACACAAGATTGCTCTCCACGAAATTCCTTATTACCATCAAGAGCATTTTGGACCGTGACAAAAACTGTACAAATATGTACAGAATTATATTTTACGAAGGTATCTATTCCTAATTTTTCTGCACATAATCACACTGAAAAGAAACCTATGACCTGAATGACCAACCCATATTTAAACACACCTTCTGAACTTGTATAATAGTTCTCAATATATTTATATACAAACATGGACATGTACGTATCTCAGGTATTGAACAATAGACTGTATGTGTCTCAGGTATTGAACAATAGACTGTATGTGTCTCAGGTATTAGAACAATAGACTGTATGTGTCTCAGGTATTGAACAAAAGACTATGTATCTCAGGTATTGAACAATAGACTATATGTATCTCAAGTATTAGAACAATAGACTATATGTATCTCAGGTATAAGTACAAAAGACTGTATGTATCTCAGGTATTAGAACAATAGACTATATGTATCTCAGGTATTAGAACAATAGACTGTAGGTATCTCAGGTATTAGAACAATAGACTGTATGTATCTCATGTATTGAACAATAGACTGTATGTGTCTCAGGTATTAGAACAATATCTGTATGTATCTCAGGTATTAGAACAATAGACTCTATGTATCTCAGGTATTAAAACCATAGACTGTATGTATCTCAGGTATTGAACAATAGACTGTATGTATCTCAGGTATTAGAACAATAGACTGTATGTGTCTCAGGTATTAGAACAATAGACTGTATGTGTCTCATGTATTGAACAATAGACTATATGTATCTCAGGTATTAGAACAATGGACTGTATGTATCTCATGTATAGAACACTAGACTGTATGTATCTCAGATATTAGAAAAATAGACTGTATTTAGCTCAGGTATTGAACAATAGACTATATGTATCTCAGGTATTAGAACAATAGACTGTATGTATCTCATGTATAGAACAATAGGCTGTATGTATCTAAGGTATTAGAACAAAAGACTGTATTTAGCTCAGGTATTGAACAATAGACTATATGTATCTCAGGTATTAGAACAATAGACTGTATGTATCTCAGGTATTAGAACAATAGACTGTAGGTATCTCAGGTATTAGAACAATAGACTGTATGTATCTCATGTATTGAACAATAGACTGTATGTGTCTCAGGTATTAGAACAATATCTGTATGTATCTCAGGTATTAGAACAATAGACTCTATGTATCTCAGGTATTAAAACCATAGACTGTATGTATCTCAGGTATTGAACAATAGACTGTATGTATCTCAGGTATTAGAACAATAGACTGTATGTGTCTCAGGTATTAGAACAATAGACTGTATGTGTCTCATGTATTGAACAATAGACTATATGTATCTCAGGTATTAGAACAATGGACTGTATGTATCTCATGTATAGAACACTAGACTGTATGTATCTCAGATATTAGAAAAATAGACTGTATTTAGCTCAGGTATTGAACAATAGACTATATGTATCTCAGGTATTAGAACAATAGACTGTATGTATCTCATGTATAGAACAATAGGCTGTATGTATCTAAGGTATTAGAACAAAAGACTGTATTTAGCTCAGGTATTGAACAATAGACTATATGTATCTCAGGTATTAGAACAATAGACTGTATGTATCTCAGGTATTAGAACAATAGACTGTATTTAGCTCAGGTATTGAACAATAGACTCTATGTATCTCAGGTATTAGAACAATAGAATGTATGTTTCTCAGGTATTAGAACAATATACTATATGTTTCTCAGGTATTAGAACAATAGACTGTATGTATCTCAGGTATTAGAACAATAGACTGTATGTATCTCAGGTATTAGAACAATAGACTGTATTTAGCTCAGGTATTGAACAATAGACTATATGTATCTCAGGTATGAGAACAATATCTGTATGTATTGAACAATAGACTGTATGTATCTCAGGTATTGAACAATGGATCATATGTATCTCAGATATTAGAACAATAGACTGTATGTATCTCAGGTATTAGAACAATAGACTGTATGTATGTCAGGCATTATAACAATATCTGTAGGTATTGAACAATAGACTGTATGTATCTCAGGTATTGGAAAATAGACTGTATTTGTCTCAGGTATTAGAACAATATCTGTATGTATCTCAGGTAGTGAACAATGGACCATATGTATCTCAGATATTAGAACAATAGACTGTATGTGTCTCAGGTATTAGAACAATAGACTGTATGTATCTCAGGTATTAGAACAATGGACCATATGTATCTCAGATATTAGAACAATAGACTGTATGTATCTCAGGTATTAGAACAATAGACTGTATGTATGTCAGGTATTAGAACAACAGACTGTATGTGTCTCAGGTATTAGAACAATAGACTGTATGTGTCTCAGGTATTAGAACAATAGACTGTATGTATCTCAGGTATTGAAGAATAGACTGTATGTGTCTCAGGTATTAGAACAATATCTGTATGTATCTCAGGTATTGAACAATAGACTGTATGTGTCTCAGGTATTAGAACAATAGACTGTGTGTGTCTCAGGTATTAGAACAATAGACTGTATGTATCTCAGGTATTAGAACAATAGACTGTATGTATCTCAGGTATTAGGACAATAGGCTGTATGTATCTCAGGTATTAGAACAATAGACTGTATGTATCTCAGGTATTAGAACAATAGACTGTAGGTATCTCAGGTATTAGAACAATAACCTCTATGTATCTCAGGTATTAGAACAATAGACTGTGTATGTCTCAGGTATTAGAACAATAGACTGTATGTATCTCAGGTATTAGAACAATAGACTGTATGTATCTCAGGTATTAGAACAATAGACTGTATGTATCTCAGGTAATAGAACAATAGACTGTATGTATCTCAGGTATTAGGACAATAGGCTGTATGTATCTCAGGTATTAGAACAATAGACTGTATGTATCTCAGGTATTAGAACAATAGACTGTATGTATCTCAGGTATTAGAACAATAACCTCTATGTATCTCAGGTATTAGAACAATAGACTGTGTATGTCTCAGGTATTAGAACAATAGACTGTATGTATCTCAGGTATTAGAACAATAGACTGTATGTATCTCAGGTATTAGAACAATAGACTGTAGGTATCTCAGGTATTAGAACAATAGGCTGTATGTATCTCAGGTATTAGAACAATAACCTCTATGTATCTCAGGTATAAGTACAAAAGACTGTATGTATCTCAGGTATTAGAACAATAGACTATATGTATCTCAGGTATTAGAACAATAGACTGTAGGTATCTCAGGTATTAGAACAATAGACTGTATGTATCTCATGTATTGAACAATAGACTGTATGTGTGTCAGGTATTAGAACAATATCTGTATGTATCTCAGGTATTAGAACAATAGACTCTATGTATCTCAGGTATTAAAACCATAGACTGTATGTATCTCAGGTATTGAACAATAGACTGTATGTATCTCAGGTATTAGAACAATAGACTGTATGTGTCTCAGGTATTAGAACAATAGACTGTATGTGTCTCATGTATTGAACAATAGACTATATGTATCTCAGGTATTAGAACAATGGACTGTATGTATCTCATGTATAGAACACTAGACTGTATGTATCTCAGATATTAGAACAATAGACTGTATTTAGCTCAGGTATTGAACAATAGACTATATGTATCTCAGGTATTAGAACAATAGACTGTATGTTTCTCATGTATAGAACAATAGGCTGTATGTATCTAAGGTATTAGAACAAAAGACTGTATTTAGCTCAGGTATTGAACAATAGACTATATGTATCTCAGGTATTAGAACAATAGACTGTATGTATCTCAGGTATTAGAACAATAGACTGTATTTAGCTCAGGTATTGAACAATAGACTCTATGTATCTCAGGTATTAGAACAATAGAATGTATGTTTCTCAGGTATTAGAACAATATACTATATGTTTCTCAGGTATTAGAACAATAGACTGTATGTATCTCAGGTATTAGAACAATAGACTGTATGTATCTCAGGTATTAGAACAATAGACTGTAGGTGTCTCAGGTATTAGAACAATATCTGTATGTATTGAACAATACACTGTATTTAGCTCAGGTATTGAACAATAGACTATATGTATCTCAGGTATGAGAACAATATCTGTATGTATTGAACAATAGACTGTATGTATCTCAGGTATTGAACAATGGACCATATGTATCTCAGATATTAGAACAATAGACTGTATGTGTCTCAGGTATTAGAACAATAGACTGTATGTATCTCAGGTATTAGAACAATGGACCATATGTATCTCAGATATTAGAACAATAGACTGTATGTATCTCAGGTATTAGAACAATAGACTGTATGTATGTCAGGCATTAGAACAATATCTGTAGGTATTGAACAATAGACTGTATGTATCTCAGGTATTGGAAAATAGACTGTATTTGTCTCAGGTATTAGAACAATATCTGTATGTATCTCAGGTAGTGAACAATGGACCATATGTATCTCAGATATTAGAACAATAGACTGTATGTGTCTCAGGTATTAGAACAATAGACTGTATGTATCTCAGGTATTAGAACAATGGACCATATGTATCTCAGATATTAGAACAATAGACTGTATGTATCTCAGGTATTAGAACAATAGACTGTATGTATGTCAGGTATTAGAACAACAGACTGTATGTGTCTCAGGTATTAGAACAATAGACTGTATGTGTCTCAGGTATTAGAACAATAGACTGTATGTATCTCAGGTATTGAAGAATAGACTGTATGTGTCTCAGGTATTAGAACAATATCTGTATGTATCTCAGGTATTGAACAATAGACTGTATGTGTCTCAGGTATTAGAACAATAGACTGTGTGTGTCTCAGGTATTAGAACAATAGACTGTATGTATCTCAGGTATTAGAACAATAGACTGTATGTATCTCAGGTAATAGAACAATAGACTGTATGTATCTCAGGTATTAGGACAATAGGCTGTATGTATCTCAGGTATTAGAACAATAGACTGTATGTATCTCAGGTATTAGAACAATAGACTGTATGTATCTCAGGTATTAGAACAATAACCTCTATGTATCTCAGGTATTAGAACAATAGACTGTGTATGTCTCAGGTATTAGAACAATAGACTGTATGTATCTCAGGTATTAGAACAATAGACTGTATGTATCTCAGGTATTAGAACAATAGACTGTATGTATCTCAGGTATTAGAACAATAGGCTGTATGTATCTCAGGTATTAGAACAATAGACTGTATGTATCTCAGGTATTAGAACAATAGACTGTATGTATCTCAGGTATTAGAACAATAACCTCTATGTATCTCAGGTATTAGAACAATAGACTGTATGTATCTCAGGTATTAGAACAATAGACATATATACTCGCAAAAGTCATTTACTGATGTGAACTTTCAGATATACAAGACAATAAAACAGAGACATTACCGGATCATATTGTTAAAGCCATACAAGAGGAAATGGTCTCGTCAGGAAAAAACGACTTAACATCGAATGATATTGTCTCGACGATCCACAATTCAAGGGAAACAACTCTGACTCCCTTCTCTGAAGCTAGACCGACTTCGGATGCTTCAATCGAAGGTATTTCAAATTGTGACACCAATGAACCAAATACAGAAGATTCAACGTCACAGACGACAGAACATCTTGTTTGTGCTAAAACATGCAATACGGACAGGGATGATGTATGTGATGATCATTCAAGCCATCTTCGGCAACAGACTAGAGATTCTAGGATCGGTGCGGAGAAGGATTTACACGGACAAACACGAACTTTACAAGTTGGAAATGAAGTGATCAACATTTTTTAGCCACGAGGAATCAAATTTTACACCAATATTACGTCTTTTAGACGCGTGACAATGTATCGTCTGAGACGAGAACAATATCTTTGGCCTGAATACGGTTAGAGCATGAATATTAAAAAAAGAACAATGCAATTTTCCATGGAATATCCTTTCTGTATTATAGTTTTCGCCTATTACTAAATTATACCAACATTTAGACACTTCGTGATTGTACCTCCGGCGTTGAGAGGACTTTTGTCTGCTCTAGACCGAATGAAGAACTGGTATCTGCTGCAGTGTCGTGAAGAACTTTTATAAGCTGTGGTATTAGGGGTACATGTTTCTACTACAGTGTCAAGAGATCTCGTGTCTTGCAGATTTAGCGAGGAAACTTCTATCTTTTGTTGATGAAACTACATATTTCAAATGTGTGACATAAAGTCATGTTGGCGGTCATTTGACATGAATATGGTTGACCTAGAATGTGATGTGCCAAATAAATATTGTATAAAAGGCACAACAGTGGCAAGTACCTAAGATGTTTCGTTCTTCCAGGACTCGTCAATGATGGGCCCGAAGTTTGAAACCTAAAAGGCAACTCAGGAGAATAAAAAGTGATCGAAAGAAATGTCAACATCTTGTTATGAAGGTGTGCTATCCCCATAAACAGATCAATTACACAGTTTACATTTTGTCATGAATACATTTATATGCAATAAGATTCCATCCTCTACTCCATGGATACGGGTGTAAAATAACTATATAAAGAAAACGTTTCTAGTTGTGCCAATGTCAACTGTTCGCCAAATGAACGGCTTTCGTATTGGTCTTCATTCCGTTGAGACACACGATGTTTAGACAGAAGACGCCAATTCAGGCAAGAATCTGTCGTATGTGACAAACATGCGTGCCTCTGGTGATATCAGTAGGATTCTAAAGAGTTTATCCAAGGTCATGACCGAGCTCTTTAACAACCAATCAGAGAGAATAAATAAAACCTGTCGTGAAAAACAAACAAAATTTGTCATCAACGATTGAATCTAACATGTCTACAAAATCTGCTTCAACACATGTACAGTGCAATGCTTAAAATTATATCACAAAGACCTCGAAATTTCCTGCGTTAAGGCCAAGTTGAAGAAAGCTGAGGAGGAAAAATGTATCACATAAGTCAAAGAGTTATATTTCGATAGGAATAAGTTGGCAATGAAAATATCGTTAAAGCCGTTTAGTTGAGCGTCTTCCTCTGTGAGATAGGTTTTGGGTTCTGCCCCCTGGTCGAGGCATACTAGAGTCTTTAAAATCAGTGTGGTAGTGTAACGACTAGTTCATCCGTTGTCAGTATAATGTGACCGGGTGGGGTGTCCTGCTGGGGACATTCGACAGTATGCTTCAGTGTGATTGCACTATAAAGTCGGTTTCAGTACCGCACTATCATAAGGAAGGTTACAAGATAAAATTAAAGCCTGTCAAATATACCAAACTCGAACCATGCATTCCCCTCAGCTATAATCAACAGACTGGAGACTCTACATATACTGAGAGGAAAAAGGAACGCAATTAGCAGATAGTTAATATTGTAAATTAAATCCTTGACGTACATCCTTGAAACTTGACAAATGTGCGCATTTGAGTTAGGACCCTATGGTACCGTATTAAAATCACTGATGCATAACTAAACTGCGCACGCCGCTTGTACAAAAGAATAAGAGACAAAAGCACGATATCTCGAACCAGCATAAAGGATTGGTTCAAAATCTGTGTGTGCGAATCTTCAGACACATTCGTCTTGATTTTCCCACATTTTAAGCATCAACAGTTCACCGTAAAAAATGCCACGACTGTCCGAAGTTGACAGGGGCCGTGTCATAACACTTCTTATGCAAGGTACCCCGAAAAATCAGGTCGCTAATCAATTTGGGGTCCATCCATTGACGACGCGTCGGCAGGATAGGGCAATGCGACTTTCGCACCTACGCAATCGCTTTCTGACGGCCACGGAAACAGCAAGGAACAAAATTGGGCGTCATCATATGTTGGACCATAGCTTAATGCGCAGCGACGTGCCAGACGAATGCAATGGCTGAACGCACATTCCGTAAGACGCTTCCCAATGCAACGTTGGAGAAGGGTCCTGTTATCAGATGAGTCCAGGTTTTCGCTTTACCGGGCAGACGGCCGATGTCGTGCCTATAGACGTACCCACGAGCGCTATGCAGATGCTTGCGTGATAGAGAATGACCGCTTTGGAGGAGGATCGGTCATGGTATGGGGAGGGATTGCGCATGGTATCAAGACTCCTCTGGTCGTTATTCAGGGAAATCTCACGGCTATAGAGATCAAGTCCTAGCGCCACATGTTGTTCCGCTAGTACAGCAGCGTCAACTGACGTTACAGCAGGACAACGCCCGGTTGCATGTAGCGAGGGTTTGCCGTGGTTATCTCGCAGCAAACAATGTCCCCACCCTAGACTGGCCCCCGTACAGCCCTGACTTCTCCCCAATGGAATATTATGGGACGAGTTGGACAGAAGGATAAGACGTAGGCCGAATCCTCCAATCAACGTCGCTCAGTTGGCGTTGGCGTTGGCGCTGGACGAGGAATGGAATCATATACCAATGAGGAGGGTTAATACCCCGATCAATTCAATGCACAAGAGTACGTGCAGTTGCTGCAGCTCACGGCGGGCACACACGATATTTATGGGTCCAGAACGCACTTCATTTTGAGTGGGGTACTCTTGAATCAACGTCAAATTTGAAAGGTTAACTTAACGTACACGAATGAAATTCTCGGAGATGACAGAGTGGTCAACTATCTTCCAGTTACACCAGTTACCGTGTTATTGTATCTACTATCCATAACTATCCTTTGTCAATCATAGTATGCATTGTCTTTTGTAACCCTGTCCCGCTTGTCAAGTTTATCGCTAGACCATTAGAGAGAGAGGGGAGAGAGAGAGAGAGAGAGAGAGAGAGAGAGAGAGAGAGAGAGAGAGAGAGAGAGAGAGAGAGAGAGAGAGAAACGAAGGGCAGTAACTCAGGGAGTACCAATAAAGCTAAGGGCGATAACTCTAATGACCTTAGTAATTATAACATAATATACCTTATGCATGTGATTTTGAACTTGAATCACATGTACATGGCTGGGACAAGATATTATCCGCTAAGACATTACAGATGCGTCCAAACGTTTATTTCACGCTCGACGAAACGTTTCCCCAAGCACAGATCACTGAACCATTAGTTTAATCAAATGTAAATTTTGACAATGGTGATATTGTAGACACAAATATTGATAAAAATGTTTTGTAAACGTTACGTAATCCCATTAGAGTTCAGATATGTTTTAATGGCGTGATAACTTTGAAACTTATATATATATAACCTGCGGGCTTTCTAACATTTGTAAAATTTTAACGATGTTTCAATCGTTTGTTCCTCGTACATAACATTACATGTGAACATCCTTAACACTCGAATATTACATGTACAATTATATTTCTTATTTTTATGTAAACATTTTGTTTCGGTATTTTTCCTCACTATATAAATCTCATTTTTAACGTTTATTGGGGTGTGTTGGCATTATCAATTTATGAAAAAATTGAAATTGAAAATATGGCTACACTGCTTGTCGTTGTCTTACCTGACAGTAATGATGAAGATGGGGTTTGTACTTTCCCGTACTAAGGTGGCGATCATTTTAACTTAATTCAAAAGCATATTATAGTTCCAACAAAACTACACCAGGGAAACTTTCATTAAATGCACGAAAGAACTTAGCCTTAAGTGTCAAAGCAATCCAGCTCATAACAGTCACAATAACCTAGAACATTTATTGTTTAATGTGTCGGACAAATTTAACAAAGGTGTTATTCGAGGGTGTCCCCTCCTTTCCCCCAACCCCCACAACATGTGGATTAAGATGTCTTCTGTTAAGAGGAGGACAACGGAGATCTTCAAACTAAAATTGAACCCCTGCATAATCGGGGTTGTCTTCATTGTGTGTTATCAAGAAGTTGATAAAGATACTAAAAAGGATCTGCTGTCACCATTGACACTTTACCTTCCTGTCTGCTCTTTCATTCTGTAGTTTCCCTCTCGTGCTGTCCTTGTTGTTACCCTTCCAATAGCTGTGGGAACACGCCATTCGAGAACTCGTTACAAGAAGAGACATATGTCATAAGTGTAACACAAAATGTTGAAGTGTAGACACAAGCAAGTTGGTCTAGCACAAAGTGTGTCAGATTTCAACTATTGGCAAATATCAAAGTCTGGGAGTTGCTGACATTCATTTCAGTTGGATAACCTACATGGTTTTTAACGCTCAAAGTAGACTTTAAAAAGAATACTAAATGTAATGAAAATCCCTTCCTCTTGATGCAGTTAACAGATTCTGAACAAATTTTTTTAAATATTTGGCGTGTAACCGCCTGATTCGAACGAAATGGGACCAGCAATAAAATCGAAAAATAAATTATTTTTTCCGGCAAATTCGGTTAGGTGAATTAATGACAGTGACAATGCTATACTATGGATGTGCGTCATCTGGTATTCTTTACATATTGTTAAAGTGTCTACATTTTAGAATATACACTGAAACAAAGGTTCAAGTGCAGTTTTGAAACACAGCGTACACACAGCATACACACACAGCGTACACACAGCATACACACAGAGTGTACACACACACCGTATACACATTATACACACACAGCGAACACACACATCGTACACACATACACACACAGCGTACACACAGCATACACACACAGCGTACACACATACACTCACAGTGTGTACACATCATACAAACACAGCGTACACACATCATACACATACAGCGTGCACACATCATACACACAGCGTGCACACATCATACACACACATACACACACAGCGTACACACACAGCAGGCACACATCATACAAACACATCATACACACTTCCTACACACAGCGTACACACACATCTTACACACATAAACACACAGCGTACACACAACATATACACACATCGTACACACATCATACACACACAGCGTGCACACATCATACACACACATCGTACACACATCATACATACACAGCATACACACA